TGTTGTATTATATGTTGGTGAACCTGTCACTCAGAAAGTGTTGTATTATATGTCGGTGAACCTGTCACTCAGAAAGTGTTGTATTATATGTTGGTGAACCGGTCACTGAGACATTATCTTAGCATTCAATGTGTGCACTTGCGTAACATTTTTGGTATACATATTTCACTTTATTTATTCTACGGTTTTTTTTTGGGAAATAAAAGTAGCACAAATTTGAAAACTCGGCTTGTCAAAATGATTTCTAGACTCTAGAGCATATTCTAAATATGGGTTCTTTCTTTTGTGACGCAAAAGTCCAAACTTGGCCCGAAAAAAACTAACTGGCAGGAGAATAGAAGGTCACGGTCAGCCACCCTTTACTGAACTGTGGTTTATCCAGGCAGATGATCTGATTGTTTAGACTGCTGAACATACAAGACCTGTCATGGAGAATAACAGGAATAGCTTGTTTTGTCAGATATCGTAGATATTGATAACTACAGAAACTACTGTCAAAACTAACCAAACGTAGCCCCATAATAGATACAACATAAAGTTAAATGAACTAAATGTAGCCACATAATAGATATTACAGAAAATACTAGTGAAACGAACTAAATGTAGCCACATACAGATACAACAGAAACTACTAGTCACACCAACTAAATGAAGATCTATACCGACACTGAAGAAACCACTAGTCACACGAACTAAATGTAGCCACATACAGATACTAAAGAAACTACTAGTCACACGAACTAAATGTAGCCACATACAGATACTAAAGAAACTACTAGTCACACGAACTAAATGTAGCCACATACAGATACTAAAGAAACTACTAGTCACACGAACTAAATGTAGCCACATACAGATACAACAGAAACTACTAGTCACACGAACTAAATGTAGCCCATACAGATACAACAGAAACTACTCGTCACACGAACTAAATGTAGCCACATACAGATACAACAGAAACTACTCGTCACACGAACTAAATGTAGCCACATACAGATACTAAAGAAACTACTAGTCACACGAACTAAATGAAGATCTATACCGACACTGAAGAAACCACTAGTCACACGAACTAAATGTAGCCACATACAGATACTAAAGAAACTACTAGTCACACGAACTAAATGAAGATCTATACCGACACTGAAGAAACCACTAGTCACACGAACTAAATGTAGCCACATACAGATACTAAAGAAACTACTAGTCACACGAACTAAATGTAGCCACATACAGATACTAAAGAAACTACTAGTCACACGAACTAAATGTAGCCACATACAGATTCTAAAGAAACTACTAGTCACACGAACTAAATGTAGCCACATACAGATACTAAAGAAACTACTAGTCACACGAACTAAATGTAGCCACATACAGATACTAAAGAAACTACTAGTCACACGAACTAAATGTAGCCACATACAGATACTGAAGAAACTACTAGTCACACGAACTAAATGAAGTTCTATACCGACACTAAAGAAACCACTAGTCACACGAACTAACTGAAGTTCTATACCGACACTAAAGAAACTACTAGTCACACGAACTAAATGTAGCCACATACAGATACTAAAGAAACTACTAGTCACACGAACTAAATGAAGTTCTATACCGACACTAAAGAAACTACTAGTCACACGAACTAAATGAAGTTCTATACCGACACTAAAGAAACCACTAGTCACACGACAAAAATGTAGCCCCATAATAGATATTACGTAAACTACTAGTTGAACAAACTAAACATAGTCCCATAACATATACCACTACAGAAACTACTAGTTCAGAGTGCATCTGCCTGAGAGGTAAGGACCCAGCAGTCTGCATACAAATGAGTTAGATATATAAAACGGATGCACACGCAACCCTCAGGTTTCGGAACAGGACTGCAGTCCAAAAGTGGATGAACAACCAAAACTTTCCGCCAGAGTTTACAGCTACGGAACACGAAGAAGACGAAGAAGAAGTGAAGCTACTAGTCAAACGAACTAACAGTAGCCCAGTAAAGATACTACAAAAACTACAAGTTTAACGAACTAATTGTAGCCCAAATACAGATACTACAGAAACTTTTAGTTTAACGAACTAAATGTAGCCCAATACAGATACTATAGAAGCTACTAGTCAAAGGAACTAAATGTAGCCCCACAATAGATACTACAACATAACTGCTAGTGATGAGAACTAAATATACTCCTATAATAGATACTACAGAAAGTAGCAGTAAAACGAATTAAATGTAGTGCCCTAATAAATATTAGAGTTAAAAAGAGTAAGGAGAATGTCATCAAAGAAACTGACTCACAAAGAGAACTGATTGCCCACATAAGTACAAGACAATCTATATTCTTTGGTCACATGATGAAAAGGAGAAAACTGGAGTATATCGTGGCAGTAGGAAAGTTGGATTGGAGTAGAGCCAGAGGGTGATTGAGAGAAAAGATACTGGACAGTTTGACATCATGGCATGGAGGATCATCTGTGTCAGAGTTGTTTGAAAGTACACGAGACAGAAGGTTGCGGAGAGACATGACAACCAACGCTACACGGGAATGACTTTAAAAAGAAAAAGAATAGATACTTCAGGAACTACTAGTCAAACGAACTAAATGTAGTCCCATAACAGATACTACTACATAAACTTCAAGTCAAACGAACTAAACGTAGCCCAAAATAGATTATACATAAACTACTAGCTATACAAACTAAAAGCAGTCTCATAACAGATACTAGAGATACTACTAGCTAAACGTAGTCGCATAATTGATGCTAGAGATACTACTCGTTAAACGTAGTCCCATAACAGATACTAAATATACTCCTAGTTAAACATAGTCCCATAACAGATACTAAATATACTACTAGTTAAACATAGTCCCATAACAGATACTAGAGATACTACTAGTTAAACGTAGTTCCATAATAGATACTAGAGATACTACTAGTTAAACGTAGTTCCATAATAGATACTAGAGATACTACTAGTTAAACGTAGTCCCATAATAGATACTAGAGATACTACTAGTTAAACATAGTCCCATAACAGATACTAGAGATACTACTAGTTAAACGTAGTCCCATAAAAGATACTAGAGATACTACTAGTTAAACGTAGTCCCATAATAGATACTTGAGATACTACTAGTCAAACGTAGTCCTATAACAGATACTAAAGATACTACTAGTTAAACTTAGTCAGACACTAATAGTCAAACGAGCTAAATGTATCCCCATAATAGATGTGACTGCTAGGATTATGAAGTTTGGGACGTATAGTTAAAGCTTTTGCCAGGGAGCTGGTACTGCTAGTTTCATTCTTCGATGTTTTTTTTTTTTTTTCATAGACAATATCCGAACAATTTTTTAAATTGTCGTGTTATCAATCATTCTAGTCAGTCAAGAGTTAACAGCCAATTAGTCAAACAAGAGCTCTTCAGTCAATTACTCAATTAGTCAATTAGTAGCTCATCAGTCAATCAGCAGCAATCTCCACAATGAAAATTGGCTGCAAATGATTTCGAGTACACGATGTCTCTTGTCCTTGTAGTACACTCTCTCTGACTGCTCTTCGTCCATCTCTTGATGTTGTCCTCCCACTTGTATCGTTTCTTCCCATTGCTCTCTCTCCCTTCACCTTTCCATCCAATGTGGTTTAAAAAGAAAAGTGTTATCTCCTTTAAAGTGGCTAAACTATTTCAGTGTAAAATTGTCTTGTACTAATTTTTGTGAGGCTGGTCGACCCCAGAACTGCACTGGACGAAAACAAATTCTTATTAATTCTAGGGTTTGAACCTGGACCATTACTGTCCCTGGTGAAAGTGAAAATGTGTCCACATAAATCTGAACAGCGACAGCTGTTTTGCTTAGTTAATTAGTACCTTGGAGTATATATTTTACGAATTTTACTTTTAGTTATTTTACTTCCAGAATTCAACAATATGTTATCTCGAATCGCCAACAAGACGCAGAAAAATCTGGACGGCCTCAAGCTGGACACAAGCACGTGGTCGCAGCAGTTTCGGAGGGCCATGAACGTCAATGGTGGAGATCAAGATGGAGCTACATGCCTGGATTATGTCATGCATTTTATGACGTTTTTCTGGAAAGTACGGAGTTTTGTTTATCCACATATAATCTAGTGTAATTGACGTCCCCATGTGGGATGCAATTTTTTCGTTACTTTGAAGCCCCATCCTGACTGTTGCTGGGGCCCTAATATAACCTAACGGGTGAACATAATTTCTGGGATATATCTACGGGCGATCATCATCCGCATGGTGACACTTTCTGTCACCGGATGTTTATCGCTCTGTGTGATGTCCTGGTGGGGTCAAACTTACTTACATATAATCTGTTTTAATAAACGAACGAATTCTTGATTAAGCCAGTCACCCCTTAATGATTAGATATTCTCTTCTATAAGTATACTTTTCTCCAGTCAACAGTACGCTCATAGGTGCCGACAATATACAGAAATGTAGTATAAAGATATCTGAAACCTCGAAGGGTGTTACAGGCCTGAAGAAAACATAGGTGTGATTGAAGCTGACAGAAAACTTCTGCCCAAAGTCCATGCTGTACGACAGTGACAGTCCTGTCCACATGTACGTCTCCTGCACAAATGATTCTCCATGTATTGATGCCAAACTGTCCAGGATTGTCTCTTTTCTGCCTTTGCCTCTTTTTCTGTGCTCACGATATACTCCAGTTTTTCCCGATCTGAACCAAGAGTGTGAACCCTCTGGGCTCCTTTTAAATGCAGTTAACCGATTCACGGTGTGTGTAAACTGTTTAGATATAAAATAATCTGGAATGAATGAATCAAGAATTGACATGACTGCACGTGGGACATTCCTTTAAGTGTAATGTCCTTCTCTTCAGTATCCAGCAAAGAGTCGGCATGCAGTCCCAGATGCAAATTGAATAAAAACCCGCCTTATGTTTTTCTCGTCAGTGTTTAATATCTTTCAGAACCTCTACTCAACGCCCGCCCCCCTCTTCCCCTTTCCCCCCAACCCGTTTCCCCTACCGATGAATTAGTCTTTCAGTGTATGCATTCTTTGTCTGTTCTATTGCCTGTCCATTAAAACCCAGAGGGCCCTCACCACGTCCGTTTTATCACAAAGTTGCTCACTACACAGATGGACGACAGCAGCTAATTCATCCTCATGCTCATTATCTCGCACACCTGAACTTGGAGATACAAAATCCATTATTTGCTCTTTATCTGAGTCAGATCAAGTGATGCAAGCCAGTGCGCGAAGGGCGCCAGTTTCGAATTTCCGAAGCTCCTCTGTGAGTCCGTTGCACAATTACAACATATTGAACTGTACTACTCTCAAGTAATCGGAAAGCTGCCGTCACTGCCTCAATCTACATTCTCATACTAGTTAAAGTGACGTTGTAGGCGAGGCTCTGTATTTTCACAGTGTCCATTCTCCTTTTCAATAAAAAGTCACCCACTTCTCTTACCCCTGACTACAGACCTACATGGGTGTCAATTTTCATTTATAACTCTTGAGCTACTGACTCTGCTTTCCATTTCCGGCATCCTGTGTCCAAAAAAACTATCGCTCTTTTTGAGGCTGTTTTGCTGGGTAAACAACTGAAAATGTATTGTAACCTGAAACACAATACAATCAAGAAATATGAACGAGCTATCACAATAATTAGTGGGCACCTGATATCAAAGTGTTGGATAATAACTTGGATAGATGAGCTTATTTTCTCTGCTGCAACCTTCACACTTACCATCTTTCGAAAGGGAATCTCAATCTGGATGGCAGGCAAAAAGTGCAGATCACAAATACTCTGTTCAACAATAAGAAGGTATAATTATGACATCCGTACTGGCTACACGATTAAGCCTTACTTGGGTACAATGATAATAACAATTGTTATTATTATTGTGATTATTATTATTAGTACATAATTATTTGGGAGTGGGAGGAGACCTCAAATAACCTAATCTTTGTTTAACTGTGCAAAGAAAATACAAATAATTCTATTGTTTGTATATGATAAATGGTAAACCGAAAAAAAAAAAAATTCAATTAATATGGCATTTATTAAGGAACAGCTTACTAAAAAGACGAATATACACAGTGCGATGGGAGGGGGTGGGGGGGGGGGGGAGGAATAGTGGTCGTGAGGATGGGGAGCTCTGCCTTCTAAAAATGATTAGGGTGCCCAACCCACTCTAACTCGAACAAAAACCACCGATAAAGGAATCAACACAACCAGCAATACACCCATAAATACAGCATACAATACTGCTATAAACACAACCACCAATACTGATATAAACACAACCACCAATACTGCCATAAACACAACCACCAATGCTGCCATAAACACAACCACCAATGTTGCCATAAACACAGCCTACAATACTGCTATAAACACAACCACCAATGCTGCCATAAACACAACCACCAATGCTGCCATAAACACAACCACCAATGTTGCCATAAACACAGCCTACAATACTGCTATAAACACAACCACAAATACTGCCATAAACACAACCACCAATACTGCTATAAACACAACCACAAATACTGCCATAAACACAACCACCAATACTGCTATAAACACAACCACCAATATTGCCATAAACACAGCCTACAATACTGCTATAAACACAACCACCAATACTGCCATAAACACAACCACCAATACTGCTATAAACACAACCACAAATACTGCCATAAACACAACCACTAATACTGCTATTAGTACCACCACTACAGTGATCACCACCACCACTACAATAACTACATATCTATCACGGTTTCTAGTGTGCCCATTATATCCCATGTACTATTTGTTATAATCCTTGCCTTTTATATAGTGATTCTTATTTGTTGTAATCCTTGCCTTTTGTATCGTAGTCTCATTTGTTGTAATCCTTGCCTTTCATATCGTAGGTCTTATTTGTTGTAATCCTTGCCCATAACATCCTATATTTTATTTCTTGTAATCCCTGCCTTTTATATCCTAGGTCTTATTTGTTGTAACTCTTGCCTTTTATATCGTAGGTCCTATTTGTTGTAACCCTTGCCCATAACATCCTAGGTCCTATTTGTTGTAATCCTTGCCTGTTATATCCTAGGTCCTATTTGTTGTAATCCTGGCCCATAAGATCCTAGGACTTATGTGTTGTAATCCTTGCTAATTATATCCAATGTCCTATTTGTTGTAATCCTTGCCCATTACATTCTAGGTCACATTTGTTGTAATCCTTGCTAATTATATTCAAGGTCCTATTTGTTGTAATCCTTGCCAGTTATATCCAATGTCCTATTTGTTGTAATCCTGCCCATTGTATCCTAGGTCCTGTTCGCCGTCATCCCCCCGCCATCCTACTGTGGGGGTTGGCTGACCTTCTGGTTGTCCCTGGCTGCCATTGGCATGGTCACCGCCATCGTCAGTGACCTGGCTTCGGTCTTTGGATGCCTGGTTGGACTGTCCGACTATATCACAGGTGAGTAGCGTTACCAGGTGAGCGATGACTAAAATGATCAAGTGGGTTGTACAATTGTTTTACAACTGAGTAGAGTGAGCAGGCGAGACTATCGGACTACTTTACTGGTGAATACATTGACCATGTTAGACTGCGCTACAACATCAAAGGTGAGATGAGGCAGGACTGTCCGACTATTTCACAGGTGAGCTGTGTGACCAGGGCGATTGAGTAAATCAGATATGGTTAGAGTGACCACGGGAGAGTGTCTGAGTACATTACACGTGAGTAGATTGATCTTGTCTTGTCTTGTCTTGTCCACCCAAGCGAGACTTTTCGACTACATCAGTGGTAAGCAGTGTGACCAGGCGGGACTGTCTGTGTACCTCAAAGACGACTAGAGTGACCACTCATGTCCCTGTTGAAAACCACAAGCTGACCAGACAGTTACCAGTATAGCCGCTAAGGTCACACGAGTTTCTGCAAGTGTAATGAGAATTGCCAGACAACATGAATGTGTCTACTGGCTATATTGAACCTGATGCTCTTCCCTATTTATGGATTTTTCAGAAGATGGACAACTTTAGACATAAAAAAAAATATTACTTCAAACGAAAAGTAGAACTAACAAGCTTCACAATACCTTAGTCACGAACCATAAAATAAACGTTGAGGGGAAAAGCTTTCACCAGAATGCGACTCGAGCGGATAATAATACAGTTTAAATAAACTGGAAACAGACACTACATTTCTCAATTGATTGAATGGCATATTTCATTAGATTTCATCAGATGCACTACAACAAAGTTAAATCAACATATAGTGAAATGAATAAAGGAATCCTTTTTGCCGAAAAACATTAATAACTTTGTCAAGTTATACTGTAGATCTCTCCACCGGAAATTCAAAATCAGCAAAGTGATTACCATGGTAGCTTGAAATGTATCACATGGTCTGTTTTGTTTACATACACAACAGGGGAGTTTAGTTTTATTGGTACGGCTTCAGTTGGCTTTAGCAAACACAATGTGGGGTAAATGATTATGAAGGCATAATTTTTATCAACAATGTAACCAGAAAAGTGCGATTTAATTTTGAATGGCTTTACACTGGTAGCAGTAGCAGTGGAACCCACAGGGGCATAGACACAAGTGTGAAAGTTAAACAGATGGGAAGTATGCATGCGACAGACACGTACAGGATAACTTGCTGTTAGTTGGTTGAGGACGTATGCTTCATTTGGAGGTAAAGGACAGATAAAGAAAAGAATAAGGAAGAGAGTGAGCGAGAGAGAGAGAGAGAGAGAGAGAGAGAAAGAGAGAGAGAGAGAAGAGGGGAGCCGCATGGCGAATACAACGATCAGGAATGTATAGGCTATGTTTTACTTTTGCCCCCTACCCTGCCACCTCTCCTAAAAAAACCTCATTCCAGTCGAGAGAAACGAACCTAGGTCTTCCGCATGAGAGTCCAATTCTTTAACCACTCGACCAGGCGCTAACAAAACGAACGCTAATTGAAAGCAGCATATGAGTAACATACGAGAGCAGCAGTGTAGAAGAAGTAGAAGTATATGACTAGGAACATACAGTTAACGTAGTACCGTGTAACACTAAAATACAAGTATACAAGCTGTTAAAAAAATAATCTCCAAGAAAATGAAATTGAAAGAGGAAAAAAATAATTAAACATCTTATTACAAGCACGAGCACATTTTCTGTGAGACGTATCATTGGTCTCAGTCAGGACTTGTAACAAATTATTGATTGAAAAAAAAAAAAAAAACATTAATAAAAAAAAAAAAAAATGGATTAGAAAGAGAAAAAGCTCCCTTTAACGTGAGTGAAATATCGGCATCTGGTACAAACAGTATATTTCAAAAAAGCAATTGCTTTTGAGTAGTGATGAAGTCTGGCAGGCGCCAGCCGCCTTTACCCGTCTTGGCGACATTAAACTGTATCGGTGCATCAGCCTGGTGTGCTTTGGTTTGACTTCAACACTGCTATACCCACTCCTCCCCGCCCCTTTTTTTTGCCTCCCTCTTTCCTAAAATTCAACAGTGTGAGTGAATATTTCAAGTTTTTTTCGACAGGGGCGGGGGCGGGGGAGAGGCTGCGTTGTCCCAAGGCATAGTGTTCGCCTTGAGTGCTAGAAGTACGGGTTTAATCCCCGGTAAGTGCTGGGATTTTTTCACGTGGACTTCTAGTAATTCACCTTGTCTCTGGGTAGTGAGATTAGACGCCCGTGTGCATTGTTGCGCACTTAAAAATCCCTTGGCAGTTGGAAATCGAAAAGAGTAGCCTAACGGCCCTACCTGGCCAAAATTTGGAGTTAAAATCCACCCAAACTATTTCAGGATCCTCGCCGGTGCCACAGAGCCTGTGCACTGTGCTGTGAGCTTCTATGGGTTACACCCGTATGCCATGATGTTGATCCGCTGTTCAAGCCTTTAAACCTATTTCCACAGCGATCACCTTCGTGGCCCTGGGTACTAGCATGCCGGATACGTTTGCCTCCAAATCTGCAGCCGTCAACGAGAAGTGGGCTGACTCGTCAATCGGCAACATCAATGGTAGCAACAGCGTCAATGTCTTCTTGGGCTTGGGGTTGCCATGGCTGTTTGCTGCCGCCTACTGGCAGAGCAAGGTAGGACACTGTATATCTTGGCACCAGTTTGGATGGCACTAACATGTCTTAGCCAACATAATAGGCACAAAGGCACCAGACTACATCTGTAGCAGATTCTGCTGGCAGTTGGTTGAACGTGGTCAATTTTTTTTTTCGTTTTGTTTTTCGTAAATGGATGGAAGGACAGTCTTATCCACGACTATGTTTACCAATAAGAGTTTAAAACATGTTGAGAATAGCACTATGTGGCTTCTCAGCCAAGTGTGTGTGTGAAATCAGTTGATAGCACATGCCAAGAACACATTAGTCATTTAAGAACACAGAAGGCATGATGTCATGTAAAAACACAAAAGACATGCTGTCATGTAAGAACACAAAGGGTATGCTTTCCTGTAAAAGCACAGAGTACATGCTGTCGTGTAAAAACGTTATCACTGACACAGGAAAATGAGGATAATCGTGAGGCATAACTTTATCGAAGGAGTTCAGAGTTCACAAAATGTCAGTCGTAGTTTACGCATTGTGAGGAAGCGACTGGTGACTTCCATAATGTGAGTTGACATTTTTTTGTTTGTTTGATGAAGTGCGTGGTTACTTCCACATTTTGTGTGATATATTCATCATCATGTAGGATTTTAGAACCTGAAGATGAGAGGGTAAAGTTCTGGAAACATTGATATAGTGGAATTTTTGACATGATTAGTGAGTGTATCTAAGGAACAGTTTGGGATTATCTATGTTTTTATTTTTTATATTTGTTTATTCAACGGATAACATGAATCAGAAAGAGGAAAAACATAGACATTCTAAACGAGTTAAACACCAGGGCGAACTGGCTGATAGACAGAATCCTGACCTGAAAGTTGAAGTATTTTGGCCACATCAAGCGTCATGGTGGCTTGGAAAAGACAATGCTAGAGGGTACAGTTTGTGGAATGCGAAGCAGGGGTGGACCACCGCAAAGATGGATACAGGACATTATCAAGAAGCATCAGCCGGAGAGCTGACTAGGAAAAGGGATACTTCAAGGCCTGCCCTAAAGAGAGCGATGTTCTATAAAGGACTAGCTGATTTTTGATGATGCAACCGATCAACATCATGGCACACTGGTGTAACCCATAAATGCTCCGTTCTCCTTCTAACTCACTCCTGAGTCGGAAGAATTTCAGCGTAGTGCACGAGCTCCGTAGCACCGGTGAGAAACCCGAAATACTTTGGGTTGATATTTCAAGTTTCAGTTTTGCCTGGGCAGCGCCGTCAGGCAACTATTTTTTTTTTTTTTTCTAACTGCCGTGACATTTTTAACGTGCGCAACAATAGACACGATCTCACAACCCATAAACCATGGGAAATTACTTGAAGTCCACGTGAAAAAATTCCAGTCTTCACAGGGGTTTGAACCCGGGACCTCGAGCACTCGAGGCAGACGCCATGCCTCGAAAACACGCAGAACCTAACGCAGCCCCCTAGGCTCCCTTGTCGATATGGACACCCAAGTTATGATTTACGGACATGTAAATCTACAGTACAGTACTTAGAAATGAAATAAATATGAAATTAACAGCAAGGAACATAGCCAAAGTAATATACAGTTTTTATGATGAAAAAAGTAATCATTGTAAAAAAACTAGATTGTAAGAGAGATAATTTTCTGAAACGACAAAAAGCAAGTTGTGTATCCTTTACAGGGCGTAGCAGAACCAGCCCCAACATTTTTTGGCTGTCTGTTTTTTTCTAGGTAAGTTTACATCCAGTAGTTTGCCAGTGCCTTCTGGACGGCCAGCTTCCCAATACCACTGTCGAAACCAACGCAAGGTTCAAGGCCAGCAGCTGGTATCGAACTTGGCACCACAGCATTACGAAGCGCATTCGAGACGTCTAAGCTACAGACGCCGACAAAAGGATAAAATGTAATAAAAATTGGTTTTTATAACTTGTGGCTTTTTGCTAAAACTGAAATAACAAGGTCGGTAGAGATTTGAATAATAATCTAGACATATTGCTTTTCGAAACTCAGCAGCACTTAAATACTGATGAAATTAACAGCAGCAGCTCTTGTAAAAGTAGTAGTAACAACGACAGCAGCAGGAGTTGTAACAGTAACAACACAAGCAACTGTTGTGTGGTATCATTTATTCTTTTTGTTTTTTGTTCCCAGGGAAAACAGTTCGTCTACCCCACAGGCGCTCTGGCACTAAGCGTGACCTTGTTTACAATCTGCGCTGCTGTGGTGATCACCATGTTGCTGTGCAGAAGAGCACTAGACGCGTTCGGTAAAGCCGAGCTCGGAGGTCCGACGCTACAGAAGTACCTGACTGCCGGCGTAGCTATGTTCTTGTGGGTGTTTTACGTGATTTTGTCGTCCTTACAGGCACAGGGCATCATTGATGCCAGATTTTAACGGCTGCTCATGTCAAATTATAAATGCTATTGATGAGAGAAATAATCGACAGTATAAATTATATACATGTTTGTAACGTGCTAGAACTATCAAAGAGACGCCTGGGGTCATTAAAGGAAACAGACGAAGACATAAATTGTTCCTTTTTATTTTGTATAAATGGAGCTACCCCATTTACCCCTATCCCTTTTCAAATTATTTGCTGAAAATATTACGACAAATGCAATTAGTGATGAGGTCTTTGACAGCTTCGATCTATTCACAGTTGGAGGACTCCATGTAACCGAACTCAGATATGCAAATGACATATTGCTCTCTCAGTCAGAAGAATTAAAGACGGCCGTCAATCGTAGTGAAAAAAAGTTAATGTGTATTTTAATTCGGTGAAAAAAATATATCTACAGTAAATACAGTACACTAACCTCAAAATCGGAAATCGAAAAAGCTACATATCTTGAATATCTATGCTCATTAGTGAACAGCAATTCCGACTGCATTAAAGACGTCAGAAGAGAATTCGCTTCAGCAGTTAAGCGATTAAACATTAAGAACATTTGACACAGCTCATGCAAAAGATTTGAAAACAAAATTCAATGTTTATTTCCCTTGGCAGCTTATTGATGTGAGTCACAGACTCTTACTCAAAAAACTGAAATAAAAATCAGAGCTTTTGAAGTGAAAAGCTACAGAACAAGGCTTAGAATACCACGGACCAACAAGAACAAAAATATGGACATCCTGCATGATCTGAACATCGCGAAGAACTGGCTCATAAAAATCATCCTGTCTTGAAAACGGAGGTGTTTTGGCCATGCTAAACGTCATGGTGGCCTGGAAAAATGTCAGTGATGGAGAGTACAACTCCTGGAAAACGAGGCAGAGACCGACCTCCACAAAGGTGGATACAAGGCGTTGATAATGCATTAGCAATGAAAGCACATAGGGCTAGAGAACCGGATGATTGGTGATAATGTTAAATATAACACATTTGTCGTTTTATCACACACACACACCCCCCCCCCCCCCCCCCCACATAAATGAGTAGCCAGAAACAGATCTGAATGATTTATACTTATCTTGTTTGATTGCTGTAAGAATGTATAGTGCTTGATTGCACCAATATTCTCCAGTGTTTGACTCCTGTAAGATTAATCGGTGTTTGATTGCTGTAAGATTCCCAGGTTTTTGATTACCAAACAGTTTCCTGTGCTCGATTACCGTAAGATTACTTGATTATTGACTGCTTAAGATTCGTTAGTGATTGATTGCTGTAAGATTTTCCAGTGTTTCGTTGCTGTAAAATTCTACAGTGATTGATTGCTGTAAGATTGGTCGGTGACTGACTGCTGTAAGATTCTCCAGTGTTTGACTGCTGTAAGATTATCTAATGTTTGACTGCTGTAAGATTCTCTAAAGTTTAACTGTGTAAAATTCTCTAATGTTTGATTGCTGTAAGATTTATCGGTGATTGACTGCTGTAAGATTATCCAGTGTTTGACTGCTGTAAGATTCTTCAGTGTTTGGCTGCTGTAAGATTCTCCAGTGTTTGACTGCTGTAAGATTCTCCAGTGTTTGACTGCTGTAAGATTCTCTAATGTTTGACTGCTGTAAGATTATCTAATGTTTGACTGCTGTAAGATTCTCTAATGTTTGACGGCTGTAAGATTCTCTAATGTTTGATTGCTGTAAGATTCGCCAGTGCTTTATGGCTATAGGAGCTACCAGCATTATCTTTTTGTTCTGCTCTAGATGATTTAGCATATTTACCCAGCATCTCTTTACTTAAAATGGCATTTTTTTTACCGTTATCAGCACAATAGCCTGCATTAGTCTTTCTCCTTGAGCTTGAGGCAGCACATAGGGTAGACGTCATAGCTCTCCATGTCTGGTGGTCTGTTTTAGGTCTGGAATTTACATTAGGCCATGGTCAAGCCTTCCCCGATGATTCTTCTCAAAGTCTCTCTTGGTCTGCCCCGTTTTCTTTTGCCTTCAGGTGTCCATATGAAGGCTAATGGGGGAAGTCTGGTCTTATCCATCCTGAGTGCATGGCTGATATAGTTCCAGCGAGACTTTCTTAGAAAGTTTCATACATTATCTTGCTTAGCCTCTTGTCTTTTTTTTCGATTTGGATCTGAAATCTGTCCAGTGGAGATTTAGTATTCTTCTAAGACATCTGTTCACAGAATTGTTTAATATTTTATCTAGAGCTACCGTTGTTTTCCAACTTTCGCATTCATAAGTTAGCATTGGAATCACACAAGCGTTGAAGATCTCAAGTTTTGAGTGTTTGCTGGGTGTCTTTGAGCTCCAGATGTTTGACAGTTTGTTAAAGACACTAGATGCCATTACGATTCTAGATAATATTTCAGGCGCTGAGTCCCCTATAGATGTCATCTTACTCCCCATGTAGTGAAAGCTGTTGACTTTTTCCAGAATGTGATTGTTTAGTTTGATGTCGTCTGAACTATTGGTAAGATCAAAAATTATTTTTCAGTCTGCCATGTCTATATGTATGTGTTGGTAAATGACGTATTTATAAAAAAAAAAAAAAAAAAAAGAACAGTTCAGACGTGTTTAATAGTGACTAGAATTTCATGGTGTTTGATTGAATGGCGGCTCATGTGGTTGGTAGACAGACAGACTAGTTAAATGTGTCTATTTTTTTTTCTATTTTGTTCTCTTAGCTGGAATGCTGCTTGAAGGCTTGACCACTCCTGAGACTGTAAGATTTGTATCCTGGATGGCAATATAACAGGACACATTCTAGATACGTATTCAATCTAAACGATTCCCTTTTCAATCTAAACGATATTCCATTTAATCTAAACGATTCCCTTTTCAATCTAAGCGATACCCCATTAAATCTAAACGATATCCCATTCAATCCAAACGATACCCCATTCAATCTAGACGAAGTTATAATTAGGTTACCCGTAATGGTTGCACTGGGTGCAGGACCAAATTGGCTAGAGATGTTGGTTAAGGTAGATAATACACATATATCTAACAATGAAATTATGATTTGATCAAGTTATTAAAAAGTGCCACATTTCTAAAGATGGCAGCGAACTGCTTTGAATGATTATGAAAAATAACGAAACAGGGTGCAAATAATTCTCAAGACTGTTGAAATAAATGGAGTTATATCCCTTCATACTTGCATTAGCAATGCATGGATTAAACGGATTGAAGAACCTATTGCAAAGCACATGTAAATTAGTTCAAGCAAAAATCTTGAGATCATGTAATTTTCTATGGCAACTTACAGTTGTGAGTCCCGGACACATCAACTTCCCGTCCTTTTCAGGATGAATTATTTCGTTATTTGAAGCCCTACTGTGGTTTTTGGCAGGAGCCGCAATATAGCCTGGCCATAAATGTGGTCTAGAAGCTGAACGCGGTTTCCGGGACCTCTCCACGGTGATCCTCACCCGCATGGTGGCACATTGTGTCATCGGGTGTTTATCGCTTGTGTGATGTCCTGGTGGGGTAGAAAGTCGGTCAGTCGGTCGAGTCCTGGACACATGATGGTGCTGTAGAGTTTCTCTGATGTTATCTTTCCATATTGTTCTTAGTTTACCTCTTGCTATATGTCCCTAACCTCTATTGGTGTATGCCTTGTATGGTATAGCATCAGAAGGCATTTTCTTCAAGTGGGAAAACCATTTGATTTGAGGAAAAAGATAGAAGCTTTTGGATTAAAATGTTACAGAAAAATTCCCAGAATACCATCCCAGGAAAAACATCGACATTCTACATAGGTTAAACATACAGGTTAGAGGGTGCAGTTTGTAGAAGGCAAGACAGGGGTCGACCTTCGCGAAGATGGATTCAGGACATTTAAGATGCATTGGAAATGAAAACACACATGGCTGTAGAGCTGGCTAGGAAAAGGGATACTTTTAGGTGTGAAATGAAGAGGGCGACATTCTGTAAAGGACTTGCTGACTGATGATATCCTTCATGCCATGATAGGAATGACAAATGTTTTTTGCCTGATTCTCTCTCCGATTTCTGACGATGAGCTCGGCGCAAAACCACACAATACGACCCACGTTGAATAAACCCTATTCCTAAACAAGCATATTGAGTTATTGCAGTTTCGTTATTTCGTTGTCTTCATTACGCGCTTGAGTGCCGATATGTGTTGAAATACCTTGGACTGTATATCCTAGTTGAGCAATAAAGACTGTTTACCTATACAGTTATCACACAGTGTACAAATGATTAATCCTAGCCTTATTGAGAACCAGACCTAGCAGAAGGTGGTCCGTCAAGTTCTGGAACAAGACCAAGGTCCAGAAGTGGACAAACAATCATGTGTGGTAAGAAGATGAGAGACTTCTCTAGTCTGTTCAACACTGTACTGCTCATCGTCTAGCACGCGCACCCATACATCTAACATCACTGCTTCTATTCAGCCTAGATACTGACCATATTGCTTATATATATATATATATATATATATATATATATATATATATATATATATATATATATATATATATATATATATATATATATATATATATATTGTGGTGTCCTTGTGTCAAGAAAACCTATACCAGGGGGTCAGTGTCCTTGACGTAAGCTATCGTGCAATCTATATCTCCGCGTGGACCATACAGCTTTATTTTGACTGAGATTGGAACAGATCAGATAGCTCTCTCACTCCCTAATACAGTTTAAAGTCCTGGAGTATACACACAGCATTGTTAGGTGCCAAGTTACAAGAACACATCTCTGTGTTTTCTATCAAGCTAGCGGGAAGCGAAAAAGGAAAACAAGAAAGGAGACACAAAAGAAAAATGGTTAGGACAAGTAAATAGTTTCCCACTGGTCTGCAAAACAGAAATAAGTAAAGGAAAGGCAGTGGTTTTTCTGGTGCAGGGACCATGAAATCCTACTCATAGCCCATGCGATAAATATGTGAATAGTGAGTTAAACTTAACAACAACACCAGCATAAAACCACATGCAGCACCTAGACGAGAACATGCA